ATCATTTGATATCGTTTGATATATTAAGTGACCAAATGTGCTAGCAAAGAGGGTAGATACTCCCACATAGTGAAACATGGCCAAGTTCCCGTGTGTTCAGATGGTTTGACTGTGCAGAGAGGCAGCAGGTGGTTCTGACCACGGGAGGCTCTGTCATGGCAGGGTCCATCTATTCTTTATTTGTTTCAACCTACTGTTCGGTTTCACTGAGGAAACTCATCCTAATGCTGTTTTATTCCTAACAGGCTGTGGAACCTAGCTGGACCTCAGCTTTTTTTCCTTCTTTCCTTAAAGCCTTGCAGTTGTGAGTGACGATGTCTGTGGCTCCGGGAACTACACTGTGCAGATGAGCCTGCGCCCAGCCGCAGAAGCAGGCCCTGAGACCGAAGGGTTGGCGCCTTCCCAAGAGACTTTCCTGGCTCTAATCGCTGTGCAGAGCAATAGCAGCCAGCCCGTGCTCCAGATCCGGTCGTGCTGTGTGACACCTTTTGCCAGCCCAGGGGGACCCGGCGCCATGTGCTGCCTGTTCCACAGGTCAGACACAGCGGTAGGGATGGGTGTCTCTCGCACTCGTGGGGAATAAAATCTCCCTTCACCCTTTGATTTATGTCAATAATTCTTCTTGCTCCTCCATGCCATGTCACAGGTGTCAGGTTCACAGCTAGGGGACAGCACAGCGCAGGAGCAGAGCAGTCCAAGGATGGGAGCCAGGCTTCTCCACCAGCCTCCGTTTCCCCATGAGCATCTCACAGCTATTCTTGCCTAAACTCTCTGGGTTGAGCACAAAATGGAGGATTCATTAGTTGATGTTCGTAAAACCACAAGGGCATGAAACGCTATGCATTACTGACACCAGTACAAGAGCTTTCTGATTTGTCCATACCGGCTATAGCAGGAGAGAGCCTCTGCAGTGCGGCTGAATTTGTTTAGGTCAGGGAATGATTGTTGTGTTACAGCAGCCATTTTAATGTCTGTGGTAAAATCATCCTCCATGAAACAATTCTGCTGCTCTAGGACCATGCCCTCCACAGCAGGGACGCTGACATTTTGTGGATTTTTGTCTGACCCTGCAGATGTAGGTACCTGGCCTAGGACTTGTGCAGATCTGTGTCAGCAGATCCTCCCTCTAGTCAGGGAGAGCTGGAATGTGAAACTGTTTCCCATTTGTCCTTGCCAGGTTGCCGTTTGAATGCAGACACATCCAGGTACTGCAGAGCAGTAAGTCCAGACGTGCTAGCTTCACCATCCAGCTGTTCCAGATGCTGAATCACTCGGTGGCCTATTTGCACTGTGAGATCAGTGTCTGCCTGCATGGCAGAACAGGATGTGAACAGGTACGTGGGACTGGTCCCTTCTCACTGCTCTGAAGAGCTTTTGGAAAGATTTGGTGCTTCCAGCAGGTCCAGTCAGTTCAGTAAAGAATCTTGATGGTAGAATGTAGAGCTCCACCTTCATCCAGCTCATACGGTTCATTCTTAATCTCCTGTGTACTCTGTGTCTCCTGAAGCCCCACCTGAATTTCTACTCTCCATTAAGCTAGCTGAGCTCACAGTGCTTTATTTTCACTTTGCATGTAATCGGCGTAAGAAGCGTATCAACAAATAAGCAAGTAGCAACCTTATAGGAAAATCACAAGGAAAAGGCTCAGCAGAGCTTTATAATTTTGCATTGTAGATTTACATGAAAGGGCTCAACCCTGTCCCTGTATTGGATTGTCCTGCTCTGGGATATGGAAGTTTTCCGGCTTCCACAAGCTTGGAGGGCTCAGGGATGAGGTTTCTGTGAAACACTTGGCACAGCGTCTCACACCTAGCCATAGAGCATGCTGTGTGTTTAGAGGCTCAGGACTACAGAAGTAGTGCAAAGAAGCATTTTGAGAGGGATGTAGCAGAGAGTTTCACGAAAGTTTGGTTGAGCTGGACAGGAGAGCTAGAAAAGCTCTGAAGATTCAGCCAGTCAGGCTGAGCCTGCTTTTAAGAAACTTTGGCAGGAATTAGGCAATCGGTTACCCGGGCATGGGAAGGATCTGGTCAATCCCTTTGTTACAAGTCTGGAAGATGATTAATGATAGGAAATGGTAGCAATAGTTGCAGATCCCTAGGGAAAAGGAATAGAGATTTAGGTATGGGCTGCCCCAAGCATTAGGCCGCTCACTTGTTGGACAGGAGAGCTGGACCAAGGCTCAACCTGAGGCGGCCCACTCCCATCAGCACTGCGGTTGCTGTGGGCTGTGCACAGTGGCTCGTGCAGGAGATTCTGTTCAGTAGGACTGCAAGTGTTGGTCGTGTGTCTTTCCCAGGACTGCTTTGAAAGTGTGGAGCCATTTCTCCAGTCAAGTGACAGGAACAGCTATGGAAACC